GCAGAGTTTCTACTCTTTTGGAGCTCATGTCAAATATCTTTTGTTCAAAGCAAATTCAAACAATACATTCTAGAATTTTTATCTAGAGGGAGCTTAGGAGCTTAAATTTGATTGAAAGAGATTTAAGGAGATTTATCTTGGAACCTCATTTGCCTAGCAAAGAAACTATTTTTACTTAGATTGTATGTTTATCTGTGACAATTTCGTGGGGAGTTGATACAGAATATAGAGTGGATGTTAGTATCCCTCCACCCATATGGCGGTGCTGCCACTAACACGGTAACAACAGAATATGACAAATCAAAACAAAATGTTGTCATGTGAGACATGAAGATTATACTCAATTGGAAAAAATAATAAAAGGTTTTTGAGAGGGAAAAGGACCTTGGCAAAACATAGAATTTTCCAAGGGTAATGATAGAGGCAGAACTTAAATAGCATATGATAATAATGTGAAAAGATTTGTATATAAGACATTACATTTAGAGAAGAATCCCAAAGAGTAAAAGTCAGAGTACTTGTAAAAGAATGGTGAGGTATACGATGTAAAGATGGGGCCACGTCACAGGGGTGTCACTGCCAGTCTGACTGACTAGTTCAGGCTTAATTTGCTAGTCTATGGAAAATAACAAGAGCTGGTTTAGTAGAAGAGTAAAATGATCAAAATTTTATGGAAGCTGTATTTGCAAGATAATTTACCAGACAATTACAGGGTAATGAAATTAGCAGGAAACTACTGGAAAGCTATTTCAGTAGTCTTAGGAAAAAGCACAAAGAGCCTACCCTAGGGTAACGTATAAACAAAAAGATAGCAGCGATGGATTCACGAGATGTGTAGAAACCTAATCTCCTGGGTCCTGAAAACCAGCAGAGGTAATTAAATGCTGCTCAAGGAGCAGAGAAGAAACATACAGAAAAGAGAGGTCTCGCTTTCCATTTGCCACAGTCATACTCGTTAGCTCTCTTATGATTATCTTCTTACTTAGAATGACTCACAGGGGAGAGCTACTCCCAGCCAATAGTCACATTCTAAGGGCTTTTCTGTTCCTATAAGTCAACATACTGAAGAGTAGGTTCCTTTGCCTTTGGGTATCTCTTAGACTCCACTTGATTTCCCAGTCCCCTGCTTTTTTTTTTTGACTGGAATCTTAAGTATTATATTTCATTAAATAAATTAGCTTCTACTTACCAAGTTTTCCTTTCCTACAAGTCACACAATGGGTATTGATTTGCTATGCTGTCATCTTTGTGAAAGAGAATACTAAACAAGAGAGTCATCTAAATTATTGCCAAAGTCTTAAAGAAAAAATTTTTCCATTTTCCTGTCAGCTAAGAATACAATTCTTTTGAAGATAACCTGCAAAGACAAAATGATAATTTGACAAAGAACATTTCCTTAATTGCATGTAATGAGGTTTATGTAATAGAAACAGTGTTTGTAAAGGAAAATAATTATGAAAATTTATTACTTTTTTATATTAATACATAAGACAAAATGGACATTCAGACATAGAAAAGAAGTTACTGTTCCATGTGCCCATACATACTTATCCTAATGCAGCCCAGGAGTCTGAGATGTCATCTCTTTGGTAAAACATCTTTTGGTTCCTTTCCTCACAAAGATCCCTTTCAGGTTTTACTCAGAAAATAGAACATGCCACAGATCTCTCCATTTCCCATTACTTATCCCTTCCAGACTCTGAAGACTGTCTCTAGAGATCTCAACCCCAGGAGCAATGAAGCTAATTAACATGCATCATACACACTTGAGTATATTTCATCTTCAGTGATTATCATATGAAATGTGACATCAGATCAAAACTATATGAATGTGCACATATTTATATGTACACCCACACTCAAATACAGGCACATGCATGCACATGCATATATACTCCAGCCTAACACAGTATTCTTCCCTCCAGAGTTGCATCTCCTATCGTCCACTATATCCAGAATGAGCCTATTCTTAGACATCCACAGAGCTACCTATCTCCATTGTTTACAAACTTCTTATCTCTACATATAGATCAAACAGGATATGTATTGGTCAATCAACAAGTTAAGACATTGTGTAACAGAGAAAAATCCATTTTCTCTTTAAAACTACCTTTTTTTCTAAGCCTTTCTTGCAGTTAGGTATGCTCATGCAACTAAGTTGTAGTCAGTAGAATGTAATTAAAACTGATATGCAACACTCCATGCCATACTCATGCATGATCCTTCATGATTTTTGGTGTAATTGAGCATGTTGACCCTGGGAATCAAGTTTTGAAGATGATGAAGGCAAAGATGGGAAAAACCTGAGTTCCAAAATCATCATTTGAAAAACAATCACCTGTCAATCAGGAACATCCATTTGGATATTAAGTGAATAGTAAATAAATGTCTTATGTCTTTCATATTTCATCCACTGAAAAAGAATCTTGTTCAGAGAAAAATACTGTGACTAATTGAATCAAATATTTACATTTTGATAAGTGCATAAAGAAAACAATCTGTGGGTGACTATGTCAAAATTTATATATTTGCAGACTTATTCCTTTCAATTTTCTAATTCTAAAACAGCAGAGAGAAATTAAGGACACAATGTTTATGAAGGACAAATCCTGAGAAATGAAAATTTTGAGTCATGGAGTGAGTGCATTTTAAATTTTGGTCAGTGTGGCCACATGTCCCTCCAAAGAGGTTTCAGAGCTTTCTTCATTACTGTTACTTTTATTTTTATCTTTAGCACCAAGGCCAAGCTTTTCATACTGTGCTGCTGGCCTAGCTCTTCCAATAGGACTCATAAATGAATATAGCACACAATCTTACGCCTCCATTATGATGATATATGTCAGTGTCAATTGAGAGAATGTGGAACATATTCTTAAGTTTAAGACTCTCTTTTCATCCAAGGTGACACAATGCCTACCTTTCCGACCTACAATCTACATCCTCGAGAACACAAAACTTAATGTGTTCTTGAGGATGCAGATTGTAGGGAGCTTCATTAACTACTCGCAAGCCATTATAGACCAATCTAGCTCTCCTGCTGTTTCAATATGCACATATGAGGAATACATGATTCTTCAGAACTCACCAGATCTGTTGCTAAATCAAGTTATTACCCTTAGAATTCTCACACAACTTACGAATTACACATTTATTGGAGAATTTTTGTATTCTAATTTCTTAAGATGGGCTCCATATTCTAGCAAACGATTTTTTGACCTCTTAACTACACACTGAGTAGTTTTCTCTGGCTCATACGAGCTATATAACATTTAACAGAGACTTTGTCACACATTCTATATACACTCATAAAAAGCCTTCATAGAAATATGCTACAGAGGGCTTGAGGTAATGTGAGAGAGTTCTTGTTGTTACTTTTTAAACTGTTCTCAGATGCCAAATACCTGGTAGAAGTCCCAGGATTATTCTGCTGTTTAGAATCTAAGGTGCGTGAAAGGCCTAGAATTTCTGTTTGGGCTCTTTCAGTTAGAAATAATATACAGTTTTCATTGAATATCTACCCTACCCTACACAACTGAAATATCAAGCTTCTAATCTTAAACTCTGATAATGTTAATGTAAAACAGAATTCCTGCCTTGATTCTGTAAGACTCTTGAGATATCAGTAGTATTTTCAAGAGGAATTGTGAAATTCTCAAAAGACTGAGACAATACAATTAATCTGAATTTATCTTCTCCTTAAAGCTGATTGGATAGCTTAAAACACATTTGATGAGAGAAGGAGCTATATTGTGGTATTAAACAGTACCGACTCTAAACTTAAAGACACCAACATTTTTAAATGCAAATCTGATCACATCACTTCCTTGCTTCCAATCTTTAAATATTTCTTTCTCACCTGCAGGATCAAGTTCAACTCTTTAGTATCTAAGTTCCTATATCTCTAAGTTCATCTCCTTTCAGGATCCCTACATTCACTCTGTACTCAGTCATTCATTTATTAGGACTGACCTATATGCCATTTTTCTTGCATGTGACATCATCATCCACCCTCCCTCTCTTCCTTCCATCTAGAAAACTTCCAACTTATAATTCAAGACTCAGATGAAATATTGACCTCTCTGTGAACCCTTCTCTGACACTTCCTACCTATGGTCCCCAAAGCTATACTCTTAATCTAACACATTTCTGTGCTCTTCTGGCACCATATGAATTCCTCTCCTTTAGTATTTTTTTTACTGAAATTGTTGACACACCTGTGCCACCATAACTCAAGAGCTCGTCTGGAACAAGAATCTTATCATATGCATCTATGTATCATCAATAACAAGTATACTGCCTAAAGCATGATTAGAGTTTAAGAAGCCTTTGCAAGACTCAGAGTTCCATGTATAAGCTGCACACCCTCAGGCTTATATACTACAGCAGCAAGACTAAAGAGGGGGGTGCAAAGCTATACCATCTCCTAGTAAAGTTACACTTCTCTTCGTCCCTATCAACCTTTCTACAACCACCTATGATGGACAGCATCAGTACAGATTCCATTGTGCTCTTTTTCCCAAAATGGCCCTGATCTGACTCCACTGGTAACAAAAAGAGGGTCTTCCTTGTCTCTTTTGCTGCTTTTAGATTTTTATCCCTTGCTTGTCTCTAAAAGCCATTTTTTGAAGTTCAATCTCCATTTAGAGGAAGAAGACAAAGGGAAAGGGAGAGAGAGTAAAGAAAACACAATATGCCATCTATAAAGTTACTTATGAAAGCTTCTAATCTACCAACCCTAACTCACTC